AAACAAATATTTAAAAGCAAAATGTATGTTCCTTAGGCTTTCTGTTGCTGTGAAAAGACATTATGATCAAAAGCAACTTGAGGAAGAAAGGGTTTATTTCATCTTATATCTTGTAGTCCATCATCCAGAAAAGTCAAAGCAGGAACCTGGAGGCAGGAGCTGAAGCAGTGCCCATGGAGGAATGCTGCTTAGCCAGCTTTCTTATAGCACCCAGGACCACCAGCTCAGGGGTAGCACTACCCACAGTAAGCTGGGGGCTCCTCCATCAGTTATCAATCAAGACAATACACCACAGGCTTGGCCATAGACTAGTCTGGTGGGGGCATTTTCTCCACTGAGGTTTCATCTTCCCAAAATGGCTGTAACCTGTGTTGTGTTAATAGAAAACTAGCCAGTACAGTACACCATGTTTTGAAAAGCAGCCATTGGCCTTGGTTTCTTTATATGATTGTAGACCTCTGCTCCCACCATTAGTGTATATGTATTTCTTTATCCATGTCTTGGAGACTCTATTTGTGGGTAGATTGCATTCCTTCATATTGGTTACTAATTCTTCCCAAGTCCCCTAAACCTAGGAATTCCCAGGATTTCCATGTATGTAGATAGGTCAGTAAGTAGTTTGAGACAAAGTTTTGCTTTCTAGCACAGAACTAGCTTTGAACTCACTCTGTAGCCTGGGCTTGCAACAAACCCTCAATCCTCTCTGAATGTTAAAATTTCTAGTGTGGAGCTCTGGAGGCAGAGTTGCAGACCAGCCTGGTCTACATAGTGTGTTCCAAGACACACTATCTCTCAAGAAGAAGAAGAGGAGGAAGAGGAGGAGGAGGAGGAGGAAGAGGAGGAGGAGGAGGAAGGAAGGAAGGGAAAGAAAGAAAGAAAGAAAGAAAGAAAGAAAGAAAGAAAGAAAATAGAATTTCTTACATGTACTACCACACCTTGCTTCCCCCCACTTCTTCTTAGCTCTTTGCCATTTTTTTTTTCTTCTCTTCCCCTCCAGAACACCTTCATCCATCAATTTCTCCTGTTTCAGCCATCACTTCCATGAAGAAACCTGCTAAATCTATACCCACAGCATTTCCAGCTCCCCACTGGGCATCTCCATCTGGAAATCCTCCTTGCATTCAAAATTAACATGTCAAAAATTAAGCACATCTATTCCCTATCAGATTTATTTCCAATCTCTACTAAGTGTAGCATCATTACCTTTAAACAGCAGGTTTGACTATTAAATTCAGCCACTGCCTTTCCTTTGTTCTTCTCTTCTCTCTGTGTGTCTCTTTCATCTGGTCAGTGGGCCCTAGTACCCACTGCCACCTCTACACTCCTGCTGTCTCAGTGATTCTTCATCCCTCATTATCTCTCCCCAGGCTGCTGGATGAGGAGCCTACTTACTGGCCTTCCCTCTCATTTCCTCTGCACCCAACATGCCATCACCATGGTACTAGGCCCAGCAAATGGTTTCAGTCTTTAGTGCTAATTGCACTCCTATCTTACTGACAAACTGTCCAAACCCCCAGATTGCTTGCAGAAGTACAGACTACACCTGAGTTCTGAAATGCTGCGTCCTTTTGGCTGTCTGCTTTACTGGGCTTGTTTATGAGACTGTCATGCCTAAGTGGATAGTCCCACAGCTTCTGAACCTGCTCCCACTCTCCCTTCCTCTCCCTGCTTCTCCTGCTCCTTTCCCTCCCTATAATAATGGAGCCCCAGCCTCCCTGTCTTCCCATTCTCTACTCAAGAAAATTTGACCATCTTTCAGTCTGGATAGTGAGGACCACCTCCAGCAAGAAGCTTTTCTCTGTGGACTGTTACCCTTTACTCTCCTCTTTTGTTCTTTGTCCTTTATATTATTGAATATGTATTCAAATATATTATGAGCTTCCTGTTTTCTTACAGCTCCTGTTTTTTGTATGCCCCTACATCTTGATACATTTGAATTAAAACAAAATTTAAGAGGATGTACTTTTTAAAATGTACACAGCAGTGATTTGAGAACTTGCAGGTACAGGCCTGCATCAAGGAGGAGAAATGTGTTAATAGTTGTGGGAAGGTGTGGTAGTGTAGCAGAACTGAGCAAGCCAGCCTTCTAATGTGTGGCAGCTACCTGGCCCAAAGCATCATCTTCTCAGCCCACGTACTAGGATTTCAGTCTTCCTCACATTGGTCTGTCATCGTAGATCTACACTAGAATTTTGGAGGAGGCAAAGCTTTTCAACCAAGCTGGGCATGTAGCTCACCTGTAATCCCAGCATTTGAAAGACAGAGGCAGAAGAATTGCCTCAGGTCAAAGCCCACTTGTGCTAAACAATGAATTTCAGGGCAGCCCATTTCAGAATAGGTTGGGTTTCTTGTTTGGTTGGTTGGGTTTGGTTTTTACCCACAAATATAACTTACAGACTTTTCAGAATTAGAAATATTTAAAATTGGTTATATATTCATGGTAATTAATTTTTAGGGCTGTAAAAAGTGCAATATCTATTTGAATTGAGTCAAAATGATATTTTAGGTTTGACCTGTCTGTAGATGTGCATTAAGCTAGTCCAGTGATTCTCAATGAGTATCACAAAGGCCACCTCTTTAGATGCCTTATACCACTTGGTTATATCCCCCACCCCATTATCTTTCTACAACAATGATAGATTTGTGTTTTGTTTCATTTTTAATTTGCTTTAATACTATAATACCTTCCCATTATTCTATGGATAAAAAGCAAATCTCTTGCCAAAGAATGTTGGACCTGCATGGTCTAGCCCCTAAGTGTGTGCCTCTAAGTCATTCTTGGGCTGTGAACAGTCTTCTTACCCTTCTCATATTCCTTTTACATCTGTTCTTCCTTTGAATGTCAATTCAGTCATTACTTCCCCCAAGGAAGCCTGTCTTTATGGTATTCTTTCTTTCTCTTTGTCCCTGGAAGCATTTATTATTATTGTGATTCTGCATTTTATTAATGATCATTTCCATTTCTTCTGCTAGATGCTAAGCTCCATGACTGGTTTTGCTTGCCATAGCACCTGCACCTAGCACAGTGCTTCATGTATGAAAGGTTTTGACATTCACTAAGTGGATGAATATGGGAGTGGTAAAACTTGTTTATATCAACTAAACATAAACAGTTCTGCAGAGTTTTAGTGATGAGAGTTACCTAATACTAAGTATTGCTTTCATTTTCAATGCTAATAATAGTAAAGGAAGGACTTCTCACTTTTATATTTGCTATACCTGTGGGGTATCAAATAATATAGTAAAATAAAGTTATTCAGAATCATAAAATAAGGAAAACTCCTAGATATCGAATAGCCCAGGCTTCTGTGGAGCACATCAGAGGCTGTGTCACCTCAAACATTTCTAATAACAAGGATTAGGCATCACCAGAGCCTGCTGAGGTTTCCTAGTGTCAGTCTTCAAGCCTGTCTGGCCTATCCCTCTCCCTAAGTGAGTAGTGTTCCTCTTGTGTTCCTTCTCAAGCTCCTCCCCTCAGACTGTTCCTGCCATGTTTTCTGCCTTACCTCACACCTTTGTTTCTCTCCAACCCAACTCCTCCAGCTAATTCTTCCTGACACTGAGTTTTTGACTGAATAAAATTGAGAACACCAGCATCAGCATTTTCCTACCTGTCAGCTACACATGTGGCAATACAAGTTGAGTATCATCTATCAAAATGCTTGGGACCAGAAATGATTCTGGTTTTAGGGTTTTTCAGATTTGGGAGTATTTGCATAGACTTTAAGCTGGCTGAGGATCCCTGATCTGAAGTAGAAATGCTTCAAAACCCAAGACTTTTGTAACCTCTCTGGTTTTGCCAGCCTCTAGATGTGGTTTAGCTACCAGTATCCTGTTTTAATAGAGGACTGAGGTCCAAGTGTCCCACTATGACCTGGGTTATAGTATGTAAGATTAGCTCTGTCCATCTAGAATCCCAAAGTTCTTATGCCCAGAAGCAAAACTTGTTCTCTTTTGGTCGTGGATGAATATTTAAGCTTCTGAAGTTGTCAATCAGCTTATCCCAGTGCTGTTTTTAAGGGTGTTAGTGGAGATAGAGACTCTATTTGGGAAACACTGAATTTACGCAAACTGTTCATCTGCCCTCTAATTGTTAACTCTAATCTTTTGTGACTCAGGATCAGGAGGTGTGCCTTTTAGAACATTCTCTTGTTTTGCCAACCAGTCTATTACATATTCTTCCCCAGAGGCAAATGTTTCAATGAGATGACATTGGGATGGGAATTCCATTGGAGATCTACTCTTTGGTGAAGTAGAAAACTATGGGAGATCATATTTATTAGAAGAGTGGGGAAGACTTGTTGAGGCCTAGGAATCGAAAGTAGAAGAAGGAAAATGTAGGAGAGAGAAAGAGAATAGGTTGCTGGAACAAAGAGAATGTAACTTATAGAAACCTTCCTGTCACATGCTACTGTGGCATTCCACACTTTATTCACATTGCCATCCATTCATGCTAGAAAGTAGATGCTATTGCTCCTTCTATGGAGAAAGGTGACAGCCTCTGAATCATGTAAGTGGTGAATGACAAAAGAACTTGTCAAGCACAGATCCCTCTGGCCCTGGAGCCTACTGTTGCAGTTTGACCTAGCAGGTTTAAGCATCTTTTTGTTGTCAGAGCAAATGTGGTTTGTGAAGGAGAGCTTGGAGTGTAGCACTGTGATAGAGAGCTTATTGAGCATTCGCAAAACCATGGGTTCTAATCTGTGCCAGTAAGAAAAATGAAAGAGTGTGAGTTAGGGGTTAGCCAGTGGTAGGACCCAGAAAGAGAAGGGAAGCAGTACTGTCAGGCCTACTTTGAGAGTATCACTTTAAAAACTGTAAGTTCTCCCTCTGTCTTCTGAACTTGTTGCTTCTGCATGTTACTCTTCTACAATTCTTTTTATTTTAGAAAAAAGTCCATTGTTCTGTCTTAAAAACTTGAGCATTGTTGTAGTCATCATCTGGCTTGATCTACCCACTCATGAGGGCGTGTGTTAATTCTCTTCTCTCTTTGTTACCAGGGGCCTTGTGCATGACAGCAGGCATAACCTCCAGCTGCGGGGCCTAGTGGTGCTGCTCATTTCCAAAGCAGCCGGGCCCAGCGCTGACAACTCTCCATGTCAGAACTACGACATGGTCAGTGGGATATACTCATGGTAAGTTTTCCCACATTGCTCTCTAGACTGTGAGTCACTGGTCAGCCCCAGTCATTCTGATTCGAAGTCAAATGAAAACAAAGTTGGGGCCTCTCAGGTGGATCAGCAGTAACAGTTCCTGTTTGATAAGCCTGATGATCTGAGTTTGATACCCAAGAACCTACATGGTGAAAGGAGAGAACCAGCTCTCAAAAGCTGTTCTCTGTTCGTCACATATGCACTCAGTGGTATCCACACCACAGCCAGCATCTTTGGGTATACCCTTTTCCCTTTTATCTAAGTATTTTCAGTAGAAGGGATATACTGGGACTGGTTTCAGTTTCTGATCATTTTGAATTGATTTATGTTTATGTTGTTAGGTACTAGTCATTTTGAGAGTTATTTCTATAATCTTTCTACTGCTGCTAGAAGAGTTGTCTGCTTTTAAGAAAACAAATCCCAAGCCCTGAAACATTTTCTCACGTTACATGCAGCAGATGCAGGAAGTTCTGACTCTAGATCACCTGTCTTCTTTCTTTTAAATAGTTCATTTCTCTTGTGCGTTAGTCTAGACATTGAATCTAAGATCCTCTGGTGAGAATGTCTAATAACCTTGCAAAGAAAAATCTACTTAGAGTGATATCTATCTTCTCCACACTGCTTCTGTGTTAGAACTCAAGACTTGACCTTATACAGTTTATGGAAAACTCTTGACCAAATTTAGCTGAGGTTATGAGAGAAAATATATATACAAAGATATAGAGTGATCATTAGCAACCCATTGGCAGTGGAAAGCAAATGGGTCACACATCTCCATCCTGTCAGGAATCCCGTTGATTTCCTGCCCTACCTGTCAACTGTCTGGTTGTATGTACCTCTAGATAACTCTGCACCTGTGGATAAGATGAACACCAGCCATATTTTGTTATTTCCCATAGCCTTTTTAAAGTGCCGTTCCATATGGAAGAGTTGTTCATAACTGAATCGTTCTCATTTACAGAAGAGATGACCATTCTAGAAGTTAAGATTGATCAAAAACCTCCTGGATGGGGGTGAAAATGTTAGATTGAAGTCCTGTTTTGACTCCAGATGGTAGGGATTCTATAATTCAGGGGCAGTTATCCATATGTTTGCTCAGGGTTCTACCTCCTTATTACCCTCTGTAACAACTATATTGCTCATCCTTGCCGTATAGACTCTAAGCAGTCTGAGTAGAACTTTGTAAGAGAATAGGTGCACATCAAGCAACAAAACCTTTCCAGGTAAGGCTGTGCATGGGAACACATGCCAGCAGTCCCATCACTTGGAATACTGAGGCAGGAGGATCCCACTTGAGGCCTGCCTGAGCTACAGAATGAGACCCTGTCTCAAAAACCAGAAATCTTTTCAAATAATCTAAACAAATTTTATACTTGAGCATGTAGAATCTCAGTTATGCTTAGGAATGATCCTAGCATATAATTCCAGGCCACTTTCTCTAATCAAACTTGATCTAGTAATTCATCAGTTGTCTGGGTGTTTTACACACTTGCTAATGTAGAAAAGTAATTTGGCATAGGCATTTGAGAAACCATCAACTTGTTTCTGTACCACTGAAGTCAATTTGTTTGTCTCTTGCTTCCATAATTATTCAAGTGTAACTTTTGCTAGAGGCTTGTATCTATAATGCCACAGTGAATTATTTAACATTTGAGGAAAGTACTGATTTGGGAGCTTTTTAATTTATCCCCAACTACTGGGGTTTATATTGTTGGTGGCTTTTTCTCTTTAGCTTGACTTTGATGTCAGCTAATGGGGTCTGAGTAAATTACCTAAGGGACCTGAAGTGAGTTAGGTGATCTTTTTTGTTTGGCCTCAGGATATAACTGGTGCTGTGAATGTGTCTGCAAACTTATCACATAATAGCCAAGAGAGACAGAATTTAGGCTACAATGTAATAAGCGTAGCTGAGTGAAAAGGCATAAGACCCACTTGTAAAAATGTGCTATAAACATCTACCCAAGCCCTTTGCCAACAAGATATCAGGTTTAGAGTTTATGTCATTGATCTTAACTTTAAAAAAAAATTGATTCTAAGGCCAATTAAAAAAAAAAAATCTTAGCTGCAGCTGGAGCTAGAGCTCAGTGGCTGAGCACCTGCCGAGCATGGTCTGTCTGGTCCTTAGGTTCAGGCTCCATTACAAAAAGCTCAACTAAACTTGCAAATATCTCTAACAATAATGGGAAAACTTGCAACTTTCCATTCTAATAATGATAGAATATTTTTGTTTTGTGTACAAAACCTATTTTGTACCAAGTACAATACATATCAAACATAGATTGAGATTCTTCTAATGTAGCATGATTATCTAAAGAAATTCAGGTGGTTGTTGCTGTTAGTATTACTATGTTGGTAGTGTGGTCTTGCTCTGATGTCCAGGGTGGCCTGAAACTGGCTGTAGAGCCTAGGATGTTACTGAATTCATGATCCTCCTGCCACAGCCTCTCAAGTGCTTAGAAGTACTAGTGTGTACCAACACAGTAGGCCCAGGTGAATTTTCCAAATGGTTTAGTTTCCTTTTTGTTTTATAAGAACCAACACAGTTTATTCTCTTATAACTAGCAGTTAAAAACAAACCACAAATTGTGCATGTTGGTGCATGAACTGGACCATGAAAAAGCTAAAGCTGAGGCACGAGGACAAGTTTGAGACTCACCTGTACTACATGAGTTCAGAGTTAGCTCAAGCTATGGAGGAGACCCCATGTCAAAAACCAAAACAATCCCAACAAATGGAATACAAATTTAACAAACATGTATGCTTTTCTTTCCCTCGTACCCAGCTAGGCTATGTTTCCCAGCTTCCCTTGAAGTTTTCTGGGTTAGACTTCTGTCTGAAATCTAGCTAGTAGGATTTGAGAAAAAGTGGTGTCATATCAACAATGTAACCCCAGTACTTTGGAGATAAATTAAAAAGGTCCCAAGTTAGTAGTTCCCTAAAATGTTAAATAATTCACATTATCTATAGAAACCTCTAGAAGTGTTATTCATTACTTACTAGACATAAAAATCTTGCATTGTGATGCATGTTAAGCAAATGCTCTTAGAGGCCCATTCAAGGAGATGTCATGGTCTCTGAACCACTCTTTGGAAGAGAGCCAACTTGCCCATCCAAGCACAATGAAGGAAAGTCTACTTTAACTCATTTAAATGGATGCTTATTTTGCTAGCAGCAGCAGGTGCTAATATAATACCCCTTTCTGTTTGGGTTAATGCTGTCACTGTCCATTTAGGCTTTGAGTAGAGGACTTAGAAGTGAGCCCTAAAGATAGTCAGAAGGCCATCCACTCTAGGAAAGCAGACGAGTAAGAGGCACAGTGAAGAAGGGTTTTCCCTCGGCAGAGGAATTGAGACTCTAACTGACCAAAGACATGGGGAATAGAAGGACCTGGGGGAGCCCACAGTAGTGTGGACTTCTAATAATTGATATACATGAATGAATATGTGTATTTATAGAACTGAGAATAACTTCATTGTGTGTGTTGTGTCTTGAATTGTCATCTCAAGATTCATATGTTAAGTCTTGTCCCTTAGTACTTCACAGTATGACCTTATTTGGAACAGATACCTTTTTTCCCCAGAGATAATCAAATTAAAATAAAGTCATTGAAATAAACCTTAACTTAATATAACCAGAGTCCTCTAAAGGGAAAGCTGACACCGACACACACACACAGAGAACGCCCATATGAACCTGTGAACTGGATAGGCATCTGCAAGCCAAGGAGAAGAGTGTGAAACAGACTCTTCCCTCAGCCTGAGCAAACTCATACAGTGAGAACGAGGAGATCCAGTGGAAAGCAAAGCTGAAAAGAGACTGTGAAGAGCCCAAGCACTTAGGGTTCTCTCCTGGAAGACAATGAGAGGTGCCCAGAAGGCAGCAGAGTAGACCTGGGATCAGGCAAACAACAGCAACTAATTTTGTATGTACTTCAGAGAATTTGTTGCTGTTGCTTTTACCATTTATTTCGAGGGAGTACAGCATGTCCTGCACATATGTGCAGATCAAGGGACAACTGTCCAGAGTCAGTCCTCTTTCCATCATGTAGGGCCCCAGGCATCGAACTCAGATCATCAGTCTTGTCAACAAGGGCTCTTACCTGCTGAGCCATCTTATTGGCATGAGAGAGCCTTTTTAAGAGGTAAATGAGGGTAGTGAGATGGTTCAGTGGGTAAAGGCCCTTGCTATGCAATCCACATAAATGTGGAAGGAGAGAACCAATTCCATGAAGTGCTTCTCTGACCTCCACATGTGTGCCATGGCTTGCGTGCACACATATACATGTGAATAATAATAACAATAGTAACTTTTAAAATTTTTTAAAGAAATAAATGAAAGTTGGTCTTGGTACCTCATTCCTCTCATACCAGCACTGAGGAGCAGAAACAGGAGGATAAGTTCCAGATAGATAGTGAAGCCTTATATAAATAAATACTAGTAAGTAAGTAAATAAGGGCTGACAATAGAGCCCAGTGGTAAAGAACTTGTCTAGCATTCACAAAACCCTGGGTTCAGTCCCTGATAATACCACAAAAGAGAAAGAAGAGAAGGGAGAGGAAGGAGAAATGAGTGAATAGAATGCAGGGCCCCAATAAAATATGTATTGTAGGATATAACTAAATCACCTTGCTTACAAGATGATGCTGGAGTGGGGCTGGTAGAGTACTTGCCTAGTATGTGCCAGGCCCTTGATTCTATCCCGAGTCACACTCCTACACATATGTAAATGTGCATGTGCATGCTCGCGCGCGCATGCGCGAGAGCACACACACACACACACACACACACACACACACACACACACACACACACACGAATGATTTTATGATATGAGGTCTAAGAGAAAGAGAATCAGGCAGAGAGTCGCAGATAGTCTGACAGTATTTGAGAGGAAAAAACAGACCTGGAAAGGATGGATAACCAAGATTTTACTCCAAGCATGGCCTGAGTATTGCCTCAGCTGTACTCAGACACCTTGTGTC